AGTTTTTGCTGCCTGTTGCAGCGCTCTAGCGCTGCACAGCAAAAACGCATAAAAACGGTACACTTGTAAAAACATGTTAAAAAAGAAGGGGCTAAAAGAACACAAGAACGTGCTGAATCAGGAAGCGGAAGTATGAGCGACCATGACAACAGTCAGTTTAGAAGCAAAAAAGCAGCAGTTATGAAGTACATCGGAAAAGGTATTATAAAAAAGAATAAAAGAAAAAAAGAAAAAAGGAAGTAGGTGAAGGGCTTAGGCACAAACCATTAGCTGGAAAGTAATACATGAGGAGTTATTCCACACTCCATATAAATAAACACTACTACTGAGGGCGCTGAATGAGCACCTATATACGAGCAGAAACTGCATAAACTGCTGTGGGGAAAAAAGCAGTTCTGTCCAGATGAACGGAGAAGCAAATTATGTATCGAATAATTCATCCCCAATGTCTACCACCACTCTCGAAACAATGAACTTATCAGAGATGTTCCGGAACTACCGATGAAGTGCTAAACTGGAGTGTTTGTGACATGATACGGCAAACTGAGGCAGCAGCATATTTGTAAAAAAGACACTGAGGACGGAGCAAACAGCAAAAGAACAACAATTTTACAACACCTATCACAGAGAATCTGTACAATAACTATATTCTAAAAATTCCGTGTGCGTGAATGATTTGACGATCAGAAAGCCATTCTTAAAATTTTCTCCTCCCCTTCCTTATAGCAGCCGGCCAGTTTCTCCTTCGCACCAGCAGCGTGGTAATCTACGGAAGGGTGTGTGGCCGACAGGATGCATGGCCGATAACAGTGCTTTAAGTCACTTCATATGCAGAACAGGCAGTCTCCGAAAATAATCATCCTTTTCTTCCATTTACATTTCGCAGTTTTTTCGCCAGTGCAGAACTGAGGAATTAAAATAATTTAATGCACAGCTTTCAGCATGACCTATTTTTTGAAAAACCACCACATCAGTTCCTCTTTTACTTTCCGCGCTTCTCCATTTAACATACTTTATAAAATGGGAAAGATCTTTTACAAGTCCAAAGTGGAAAATTACAAATCTACAGTGCCAGCCATCCATCCTCGAGTCAATATTATTTTCATATGGTATCCTTTCACTAAAGAGAAAATCAAAGTAGCACCGTGTTAACCCAATAATTCCTAAGATGCTGAAAAGACTAATGAAATTTCAAGAGCTGCAGAAACATTTAACTGAAAGGCTTTTTTGAAAGAGACCCAGAGATTCGAAAAAACGAAAATACTTATT